GCGAGACAAGACCTACAAAATTATTGTTCAGCGTAGCCGATATTGTCAGTCGACTCCTGGAAGAAGTTGATGCCCTTAAATGATGATTTTGCCCATTATTGCATTGTTGACAAAAACTATGGTAATAAATAAAACCATAAGCAGCAAAACGGATAGGCAAGACAAGATCTATAAAGTAGTCACCATTGCCGAAATTGTCAGTCGACCTATAAGATTTGTTGTCCTTAAATGACGATTTTCATTTTCCTGTTTTGTTATGGAAAACTTCAGAAGACAAAGAGAAATTCACCAACAATTATCAGGTCTTCAAAGCGGAAATAGTTTTTTTTCTACATTTATAGCAGGTATTGCACTTGAGTTACTATCTTTACCCATTTTTTGTCGAGTTTGCGACATTTACGTTTTCATTCTCCCTATTATACCGATAAAAGAACTAAGTGTTTGACAGTAAACAAGTAGATACAGTTTGGGTTTAATGGTTGTTACACATCAATTAATTTGTAAAACCTTCATAGAGTTTGAGGAACTTTGTTAGAAGCTTTTTTTAAGATTAAGAGATAATGTCTGCAACAAAATTTTGAAAAATATTTTTCTCATTTTTCAGTTTTTTACAGATAGATGGACATATTTTTGTGTAGGTAACATTTACAGACAGTCTGTGATTAAATATATTTTTACATGATAAATTTGTAAACCTTTATGGATAGTTATGAAACTTGAACATAGCTAATCTTCAAGATTAAGTAATAGCATCAAAGACAAAACTTCTTTTTTACTGCTAAATGAACTCACTTTTCGCAATCAACCTTACACTTTACATTGACAGCACCAATCACAGGCCAGACACCTTTTTTTTTTTTTTTTTTTTTTTTTTTTTTTTTTTTTTTTTTGTATTTTAGCCAAAATTTTTAGTAGAAAGAGAAAACTGAAAACAGAAAAGAAAGTTAACAGAAACACGAGATCAACAAAAAAATATTTATTCATGATATTTTAATCTTCAGTGTTAGAAATGCACATAGGTTCAGGTGAGCGACATGACATGTACTCTTTATAACATTAACTTTGGCAGAAATATAGCTTTCAGAAGCATGGGACAACAAAAAGTTGAGAATGTCTTCTTTGATTTGATATTTAAATATGATTAACTGTTGAAGGCTAAGAGAAGAAAGAAATAAGTGAGGAACTTTATACCGAAGTATTGTTTTTTTTTTTTGTTTTTTTGAAAACTTATAAGTTTTTTACATTTGTCAGTTTGTTTACCTGGATTGCATCGGATTTTATTATTTCTTCCATGCTATCAGAATATCCTTTTTAGAACTTTTCTATCATGTTTGTGAATTCACAGTTGCAAATGCAAAACTGTATTCATTTAATCTCGTTTGGATTTTTACAATTCATCTTATGTTTCATAATTGAACTTTTTTACTATCACGTTTTTATAACCCTTGGCTTTCAAATATTCGGTTTTGTGCGTTCCTGAAGAATGTAAATTCAGCCAAGTGCTTCAGACGCAAGGAATGTATAACATGGTGTTTTCATTTCTTAAGTACATGACAATAATGTGCGTGTAATCAAATAAAAATGTAAATATACAATGTACAGTACTAAAATGAAATTAAGATATTAAAGTCATAAGATACTTTAATTGTGTTTTTTTTAAGTTGAATATGTTTTATATACCTGAATGTCTAAGATTTACTATAGAACAAGTGTACGTGGACTTTCTTGTAAAACAATCCTTTATGTTATCGAAATCTTCTAAAATATACTGTTATTGAATTGTTGTCTTCCCGTACGCGTATTCCCCAATAAATGTATGCGTATTTAGTGACCTTAAGTACGATACTTTTGGAACTTGGGTTACCGCGCATCGCAAGTGCGCGGGGAAAACCGTGATGAAAGAATTTAAAGAAAAACGTGCACTGGAAGGTAAATAGAAATAATTGATAATTATAGAGGCATCACCCTCTCAGCTATGTGTTATTTATAAATGACTGTTATCAATGAAACGATTTGTTTTTATATTATTTCTTCGACATTATATGCTGTATTTATGGAATATTATATTGTTGCTAATGATTAATTATTTTAAATTATTGTTCAATTTTGTCCCACATCTTTTATTGATTTTATAATGTTAACTATCTAAAAATGTGTCCCGAACAGGATAAATGTTTTCTGGTTAGAGAAAATAAATGATATGCAGAATAAGGCAATTTAACCCCATACAAAAATTCTACATTATATATAAATGTTCAAAATCTCAGCTGCGTCAAGTCCTGCACACAATTTGAGTTTCAGATCCTTTTAAATTATTAAATTTTACAGAATAAGCGAACATTTTAATGAATAGAGTAAATTAGGGCAAGGGAAATAATAGGTTTAAATACTTACATCTTGACCAACAAATATGTGAATCTATTTAAAAGACATGCAAAACATAATACATGTATACTTCTTCGTACATACCGTATATAATACGGAAGTCAACTATGACGCTCTTAAATAAAGGATGTTAAAAATAAATTCTAAATGTAAGCGGATTTTTCTTCTTTATTTCTTTAACTTGATTCAAACGTCTTTTTCACAATACCTATTTAATACAATGACTTATTCTCTGATGTTTTTATCAAGCAAGATTATATTTAAGGGGGAAGACTTTTATCAAATCTGGAAAAAAATGAATCCTTTACAAACTGTTTGTTAATTTGGAAAATTACATTGCAAGAAAATCATAAATCATTTGCAATTGAATATCATAATTCAAAGTTGTAACTCCGTCAGGCAAAGTTGACATTAGATGGTTGTGGTTGCTCTGATTAGGTGCATTTAGGTTTTGATATATAATATAGATTCTGCAATAAAGTGTTTGTGCTATTCAGTTGTTTTGGTCTCAAACATTATATATTATATGAGTATAATATTGAGGCGGATATAGTCAGGAGTAGAGAGCATGTGCCCGCTCTCTAGTATCTACCTCGCAAAAAAAAAATATCAAAGCATTGTTTGATAGTGGAGAAAGACAGAAATAAAAGAATAAGCAATTGTAAATCTTAAAATATCAGGCGCTTGAAGTGGACCCCCTTACTAGATTCTTTATTTTGACATAGTAAAACGTTATATTCTCTAACCTTATGACAACCAGATATCACTAAAAAAAATACTAGCAAAAATTACTTAATAGTCCAACAAAATTTTCTAATACCTGGGCATAAGCTTTTTATTCATAAGCTAATAAATATAATGCCAGGGACAACTTCCATATGAAAGCTAATACGCCAAATAAAACAATTTGACAAAAGTTTGATTTAGTTTAAATGAAGGATATGCTACAAAGATTACCTATACAATAACACACTATGTTTACATGTATATGTGTAACTTTAAACACTTCTTTTCTGTAAGGCGGAAGTAAAGTTGAAAGCTTGTAAATGATAATTAAAAAGGTAAAAAGGTGGCGTTGTTTTGTAAGTTTTCAGAAGGTAGTTTGAACTATAAAATAGAAATATAGTAATTTCCTATTGCTGTCAATCATTTTTCGTTTTATTTATAATTTAAAGTTTCTAACAGAAATAATAAAAAAACATTTTTTTTTAATTTCAGTATGAATGTTTTGTTGAAACTTGAAATTCAGTGTGCAAATGGTTTGTGAAAACATCTCTTAGAAAACATGTATATTCTTATTCAAAGTTTGACTATCGAGGCATTGATGAATGTTTAGTGTGTGAAAATTAAAACCCTAATTCGAACTTGTAATGTAAAATCTGTTTGGAGGATTTAATTAATATTAAAATCAAAATCTAGTGTAATACGAGTCTCTATTTCACTAATGATAGTCTTGTAGTCAAACTATTTTCTTTGAATAGTGCAGAAAAATGTTGAAAGAAAAATCTTTACGTATTGTTTCAATGATTTATGTCAATGTATCACAAATTTGTCAAATTGGTCAGATAAGTTTGCTCAGATAAATAGCAAAGAGAACATACATGAACGTGTAAAAGTAGTCCAGAGATGCATTTAACAGTCGCATAATACCGGTATAATAAACCAAAAGGGCAAAAACACTGGTACAAGTTATAATAATTGTGTCAGGAATTTCAACACCATAGCTTTTCCTTTTTTTGGAAATAACTTGGTCATGTCTACATACTATTAAGAAAACGTAGTATGATTGTCAATAAAACAACTCTCCATCAGGGACCAAAATTACTTACTTTTAGCATGTATAGGTCGCCAAATGGCTTTCGGCATGACAACAGTAAAATAATGCAAACTAAGTAAAACTAACGGCCTTATCTATGTACAAAACAATAAAATATACAGCAACAATGGACAATCTAGTGATTGCAGGTTTCTGACTGGGGTTAATTGGAAAGCAAAATATTGTATTATTTCTGTACAACGGGGTTTGTTTTCAGTCGTTTTCATGTGGAAATATTAAATATTTCTGGTTAGAGAAAATAACTTATATGCAGAGTACAGTAATTTTACGTGTACACAAATTCTACACTTCATAAATTGTTCAAAAAGTAAAATCACAAAAATACTGAATTCCGAGGAAACTCAAAAAGGAAAGTCCCTAATTAAATGGCAAAATCAAAAGCTCAAACACATCAAATTAATGGACAACAACTGTCATATTCCTGACCTGGTACAGGCATTTTCTTATGTAGAAAATGGTGGATTGAACCTGGTTTTATAGCTAGCTAAACCTCTCACTTGTATGACAGTCGCATCAAATTCCAAATTATATTGACAACGATGCGTGAACAAAACAAACAGACACAATAGGTAAAAATGTCAAAATTAGGGGTTCAATTTTCTCATCATCATCAATTCTTGCATAATTTGAAGTTCAGATATTCAAGAAAAAAAACGTAATAAAAGAAATGTAATGAATAGAGTAAATGAGAGCCAAGACAATAATGAGTTCAAGTACTTTTATCTTGACCCTCTCATATATGTAAAACAATCCATACACAACATTATACACTCCTACATATCGCATGTCATTCGGAAATCAACTATGACGCTCTTTAATGATGGATGTTAAAAATGGATTCAAAATGTAAGCTGACTTCTTTTTCTTTATACCTTCAAATAATTGCAAATGTCTTTTTCACAATACTAAACGAATACGATGACTTATTTTCTCAAGTTTTCATCTGGCAAGATACATTTTTAGGCGGTTGACTTTTACAAAATTATCACAACAAGGTTTATTTATCCTTTTAACACGGTTCCAGTCAATTAAAACTTTTCATGACAAGGACCCAAGAATTTGGTAAATTTTGACATAAATCATTTTAAATAATATCATAAGCTAAGTTACAATTCCCTCAAACAAAGTTGTCTTAAACGGGTGTGTTTGTCCTGTTATGTTCATTTTTATGTTGTTCTCTCCAATATTGTTTTTAATTGTTTGTTTGTTGGGGTTTTTGTTGGGTTTTTTGTTGTGTTTTTGTTGTTTTTAATTTTCTAATTTTTAATTTTTTTGCTTTTCAATCTTTTTGGACTCGAGCATTATATATCAGTATAATACTGGTGTTGATATAGTCGGGAGTCGAGGACATGCCCCTCTTCTGTTTCCCATAAAAAGAAAACCAAAGCATTGGCTGTAAGTGGAGAAAGATAAAAAGAAAAGAAAACTTCAAACAACATTAAAATATTGAAATGTCAGGGAATTCATGTGGGGTTCATCATTCGGGGACTCCTCACCAGATCCCTTACTGACATGATAATACATCACATTTTCTAATCTTATGCAAAACAGAAATCACTATCTAAAAGACTAAATTTTCGAATCCCCTGGCTATTGTTTTTGTTTTGTTTATATGCTTCAATGAACTGTCAGTGATAACTTCCATGACAAAGTTTATATAAGACATGAACAATTTGACAAAAGTTATATGTTTTTAAATGCTACATCTATTAAATATTCGATAACGCATTATGTTTACATGTATACGTGTTACTTAAAGCACTTCTTTTCAGACAGGCGGAAGTAAACACTTGTGATTGATGATTTAAATCCTTAAAATTGGCCTCGGTCTTTCCGTTGTCATAAGGAAATTGAAATTATAGAATAGAAAAACAAGAAATTCCTAGGAATTTCAATCCTTTCGCTTCGTTTAGAATTAAAACTTTGTTAAAAGAAAAAAAACTGATTTTCTTTCATGATTTTCATCAAATTTAACTCCTACAAACCTTATTTTTTCATGATTTTGATCAAATTTCAAGATGAGTATTCTGTGAATTTGAAATTCAGTTACCTTTGTGTTAAACGGTTCTAAAATTTTGTCATTTGAAATCCCTTAGAAAACATGATTTTTTTTCTTTAGTCGAACTTCGACTTTCTTGGTATGCTTGAATGTTTATTGTGTGAAAATTAACACCTAAATCTAACTTGTAATGTTTAAATCTGCAAGAGGTTATAATTGATTTCATTTTATAGTTTTATTTCTGAACAACGTGTTTTTAAATTTTACTTTACTCGTTTAAGCCTTGAAATAGTTTCTGTTCACAGTGATGCCACTTATACGATTTTACATGAAACTTTCCATTGCATTTTTCTCCTTTTATGGCCATCTTTATGGAGATTTGAAATAATAGCAAAGTTATATTTATATATATTCCAGATCTTGGAAAACTTTGTACGAAGATAGGTTTAGAATGGCAGCTGCTTGGGGTACATCTAGGTTTCAATACCGTCCAGATGGAACAGTTGCGTGCTGCGTACCCCTCGAGTATTTCACAATGTGTGTCTGTCATGTTAAGTCATTGGAAAATTGTCACAGAACAGCATAAAGTGAATTATACATTGGTATTGGCTAATTCATTAAGAGAAGTTGGAAGGGCAGATCTTGCAGATGATATTAATGGCTCTGTTCAACGGCTCTCTTGTGATTTGTCTGTAAAACAGAAAACCTGTTCTATATCAAGCACAGAAGGAGAGGACGAACTTGATGGATGTTCAGGTATAAACAATAAATCTATTTCTTATTATTTCTTTCCTGTTATTTTAAGTCTGAGTCACTTCTTCAACATGCGTCTTTTATTGAAATGCCAAATATCATTGAAGATCTCAACTATTGGTCTATTTAAATGTTTTTTCATTTGAATTGTGTCGACGATATTGATAACATCTAACAACATGTAAGAATAAATATCGTGTTAAACAATAAATAATTATTATATTCTTTTTAAATCTTGACAGCGCAAGAACAGTTATTCTCAAATGGTCTTTTATAAAATAAGGAGTAGTAAAAGTATGCAACTATAGGTCATAGTACGGCCTTCAACAATATTTGGGATACGGATCAGATGCAGTCCTTCAAGATATGATTTGAATGCTTCGGCAGACTTAACGCTGACCATTTCTTTATATGGGTGGTCAAGTCAACAATAGTCTTAAGTAATAATCAGTAGTAATTTTCTATTTTAAAATTTTGTATTTGTACCTTAATTAACATAGGTTAATCATTCCGCACAAAATTTGGGTCAACTTTGCCTGATTTCATTTAATAGTATTACACAAGAAGAACCAATTAAGTTTTCTCATCTACGAAATCTTATCATAACAAGCTCACAACACATCAAGCAACTTATTACACTAAACTTTTTTTTAATGTTTTTAGATAATAGTCGTCAACATATAATCCTAAATGATGACAGTAGAAGATATATAGATGAATTAAAAACTATAGTCTTTGAGAACAGGACTAGTGATCCATTGTACAGATACATAGGTAAGACCATTGAACTTAGGAGACGAATTCTTCCATTTTGTATGTACATTGCTTAATGAACAAAGTAGGTTAATCTTACACATAGTTATATTTGTACATTTGTAATATCATGGAAAATTGATGTTAAATAAATATCGGAAGCTATTGATTATACGGCTAATGTAATCTTAAACTTTTCTGATTATATGCCTTGTAGTTAAGATAGAATAAATCAATTTTTCATGTTGTCATTAGTATTTTTCAAAGTCTAAAACTGTTGTGTAAAAAGAATTTCTATTTCAAAATATAATATAGACTTCGAACTGTTGAAAATATAGCTGAGCAAGTTTTAATATATAAAAACATGTGTTTACATCCAATTCATATAATCTTGTAACACTTTTACAGAACAGACAAAGGTATATATGGAGCATAAAACTCAAAACATTGATTTATTTGTAAAAACAAAAGCATTTGAGAAAACAATGGAACGTTTGTTGATGAATGGCCTTGTTATTATTATTGGTAATGCCGGAGATGGAAAAACCACGCTCGCCGTCAATGTTCTAAATGATTTACGGAAAAAAGGATACACACCTCTAGTATTTTCTGACCCAAATTTACTTGAACAAGCAATAGATCCAAGTAGACAAATAGTATACTTCGTCGACGATGCATTTGGAACCCCAACATTAAACAAAAGGTTCATTGAAAGTTGGTCAAGGCTTTATGATAAAATTGACAGCATCGTGTCAAAACAAAAAATGTCATTAATTCTTACCTCAAGAAAAATGGTGGCTCAAAAAGCGAAAAATATGCTGCGTTCTTATGAACGTTACTTTCATTCACTTCTCGATATTACGGACGAGAGTTTATGTATGAATAAAGTCGAAAAGCGAATGTTAGTTGCCCGCCACTGCCAAGGTCATGGCCTTTTCCCAATGCAACTTGTAAAAGATCAGTCAGGATACACTCCCGGGTTTCCTTTGATTTGCAAATTATATACAAAAAACCATCGTTTGAGAAATAATCCAAATTTCTTTGAAAACCCGTTGTCGGTATTACAAAAAGACATTTCAGAACTTCTCGATTATGATATTCATGCATTTTGTATCTTGATTCTAATTGTTCTCCATGACGGCCGCCTTCCAGTTGAATATCTGGACGTTTTTGAAGACGATGGTATGGACGAAGAAAAATTGGACACTGTCGTTAAAGCATTTGGTATGAACAAAATGACAGCTTTGTCTCAAATGGAGAAATCGGTAGAGGCAATATTAGGGGTATATGTGGAAGAAATAGATGACTTGTATGTATTTTTACACGATTCATTTTTTGATGCCGTTTGTTTAGTTTTCGGACAAAAGCACCCGAAAGAAATACTAAGATTAGCGTCAGCTCACTTTATTGAGCAGCGTGTTAGGACGAAAAATTCAGTTTTATCAGAAAATAGTGATGAATTAGATGTTATCGTTTTGAAAAAATCGCATTTAAAGTTTCTGTCAAAACGGTGGATTACTGATATACAGACAGGACATATTAGAAATGTAATGAACAACCCGTCTATTCAAGACGATGCCATGTTATCGAACTTTATTGAAAGCATAGAGCGTTTGTCATCAGTTGAATTTGAAGGCTTTATCGAGAGCATGGACGGTCAACGATCCCTAGTCGAATTTATATTAGACGATGGTCATACAAAATTAGCTATGTATTTGCTTAAAAAAATGAAGGATACGAAAAACCTATTTTTTGAAATACCAACCAAAAGTCTACATTCAGCTATAAATAGGAGAGACGCTACACTAGTCAAGTTTTTGCTAGATTTTGGAATGGATACGAGTAGTATCACACGTCCATACAAACTAAACGGTGTGCATTGTGCAGCTCGATCAGGAGATGTTGAAATCTTACGTCTGATATTGGAAAAAACAAAAAATGGTGTCGTTAATAGAATAGACAATTTAGGCATGCAGCCAATACATTACGCATGTCAAAGTTCGAGTAATTCATGTGTAGAACTTCTTCTAAAAAATGGAAGTAGCGCTGATAATGCAGATTCTGCCGGAAAACAACCCATTCACTATGCATCCTACGCTGGTAGTATCACATGTGTAGATCGTCTCAACAAAGCCGGTGCGTGTTTAAATAAAAAAGACTGGATGGGACGGACGTCTCTTCATTTTGCTGCTATGAGTGATAATGTCGATCTTGTATGCTTTCTTCTAGAACATAGCTGCGATCCCAATACAATAGATAGTGATTTGTGTGCACCGTTATTTTATGCTTGTAAAAATGGACGCTGGAGAACAGTTAAAGCTTTAATTCAGAGTGGCGCTGACATTAATATTCGCGACAAGTATGATAAATTGCCTATACATGCAACTACAGAAGGGTGTCATTCTGATCATGAGGGTGCTAATTCCTGTTTGAAACTGCTGTTAGATTTGAATACCGACATCAATGCTGTAGATGACCAAGGCAAATCTGCTTTACATTACGCATGCGCTTGGTCATATGATCACAGATATGACAGTGTGCAAATGCTTGTCTCATCAGACGCTGATATTAATATAACAGATGGTTTTAAGATGACTCCGTTGTTGTATGCATGCAATAGTGGCAGTTTTAAGTGCGCGTCTCTTTTACTTCATTATGGCGCCAATCCAAACTGTGAGGGTACACGGCAAACTAAACCGATACACCTTGCATGTGCGGATGGTAACATTGAAATAGTCAAACTTCTGATTAGCAAGTCAGCCGATGTTAAATCAACAAACACCGATGGTCGCCAACCAATTCATTTTGCTAGTCAATATGGAAATAATGATGTAATTTGCTTTCTTGTTTGGAATGGAGCTAGCGTAAATGTTCAAGACAGTACGGGAAAGACTCCTCTACATTATGCATGCAAATGGGGACGAGAAAAATCGGTTAAACGTTTGATGAAACTCGATAGTAATCCACACGTCAAAGATTACGACGGATTTTATCCACAGGACTTAATTCCGCAGTGGATAAAAAGCTGTAAATTTATCAGACAATGCTTAAGTAGTACTTCCAATTCTTTGTAGCATCCGTTCGAAATACAGTAGGACGATCATATACAGGCAAACCTTGACTATATTATATGATTAACAGTTTGAGTTCCTGCTGTGAAGTGAGAAAATAATGCAAGATAAATAATTTTGCATGGTTGTGTCAAATATCTAAGCTTTTTTTTTATATAACTCCTTCTTTCCGACAACACCTTAACAATGATAACCCAATTCAAAAGACAAGGGGCGATAAGGGCCGTTTTTAGGCCCCACCACCAAATTTCAGTTAATTTGTCATGTTGTAACTGTGTACAACAACCCATCTGAAAATGGTTGCATTTTAGGTCTATCTCGTATATATAACTGTTCACTTGTTTCGGTTCTAATACATCATTGGCTTTCAAATATTTGGGTTTTGACGTTTCTGATGAAGGGTAAATCCAGAAAACGGCTTCGGGCTTGCCGTATGTGTATAGACAAATATTCACTTTTGAATAAACTTAAAGTATATGCCACATATATATTTGTTTCTCTAATTCATAGCCAATTTATCCTTTTTTCCGACCTGTTGATTATCTTTTATTTAATCAAAGTGTAGTTTGTTTGATCTCAGTTCTTCGTTGGCCGGCCAAAAATTCAATTATGACGTCAAATTTTCTTGCTTACCTCTAAATTTTCTATTGTGACGTCAGGAAAAGAGGCGACCATGTCTGAGGACGTTACAAAGATAAAATAGTCTGTTTGTAGATCATTGGAATAGAAGGGTTACGTTTGTCTGCATATCGTCTTAAAATCATAAGAGAAAGAGATTCTACCACCAAATTTCGTGCAATACTTCCACTGTGTAGTGCAATACGATATTTCTCCACTTTCGACATGTTTTTTTTATTTGAACCGCTCGGCGAGCCTCGCATTCTAAACTGTTTCGAGTGGAGAAATATCGTATCACACTCGATGCAGTGGTATAATCTATATAGAAACTTTAAGTACATTGCCATATATATACTATGCACAAACTATGGTGTAAAATTGAGAATGGAAATGGGGAATGTGTCAAAGAGACAACAACCCAACCATAGAGCAGACAACAGACGAAGGCCACCAATGGGTCTTCAATACAGCGAGAAACTCCCGCACCCGGAGGCGTCCTTCAGCTGGCCCCTAAACAAATATGTATACTAGTTCAGTGATAATGGACGTCATACTAAACTCCAAATTATAAACAAGAAACTAAGATTAAAATGATACAAGACTAACAAAGGCCAGAGGCTCCTGACTTAGGACAGGCGCAAAAATGCGGCGGGGTTAAACATGTAGTTCAGTTAGAGGAAATGTTTTACAATAAGATTCCGATAAAATTACAAAACTCCAGAAATCAGTTACCAACAAGAATCATACTTGGATGTAAATGATCAGTTCCATCAAATTTTATTTTTTCTTCTTCTTTAAAATGCTTATCATTTTCAGAAAGAAATTTAAAACTCTAAAAAATCTTTTCAAATTGTAAAAAAAAGACTTACGCCTAATTGTTTGTCAATACTTATAAAAAATAATATTCAATATACTTCAGTCTACGATCAGTCTCTATAACAATATACTTTTACCAAGACCAAATACTAATTCTAGTAAGAAACCTCTTCATTAATTATATAATCAAAGTCTGGAATGATTTACCATTCATCATTAAAAAATGGTTCTGAAATGTAAATTAATCAAGGAACATTGATAAAATATTTTCTTGGAAATATTATGTGAAAATGAACAAATCTAATCATCATATTACATTTTTTTTTGTTAGATTATGAAATGTGTCATTATTGTAGTTATTTGAATATATGAATGATGTATTTTGCAATAAAATGAGTACTGTATGAGTGTACTAGTATTCTTTTGAGGGCCTAAATAAAAATAAGACAAGTTGTCTTACAGATTAAGTAAGCTTCTTTGAAAAAAAAGTAAAATAACAAAAATATAGAACTCCAAGGAAAATTCAGAACGGAAAGTCCCTTATCAAATGGCAAAATCAAAAGCTCAAACACATCAAACGAATGAATACACGATTTATTATTATTATTATTATTATTATTATTATTATTATTATTGATACCAAAATTACAAGCACAAACAACAACAACAACAAAATTATCGCAGTTGCTGGAGAAGCTAAAATAATACTTTTGATGCTTATAAATAAGCAGACGTGGTATAATTGCCAATGAGATAACTTACCACCAGAGACCACATGACTTGAAGATAGCAACTGTATCTCACCTTGCGGCCTATAACAATGACCAAAATCCATACAGTATATCAAGCTATAAAAGGCCCTGACATGAAAATTCAAACGAGAAAACTAACGGCCTGATTTATGTACGAAAAAATAGCGAAAAACCGAATATGACACAGAGCAACAGACGACAACCTCCGAATTTCCGGCTCCAGACTTAAGACAGGCAAATACAGAATGTGGCAGGCTAAACATTTTTATAGTTGTCCAAACCTTCCCTATTCCCTAACCTGGGGCAGTGGTGTAACAGCACAGCATAAGAACAAACTATAAACAGCATGTAACTAGGGCTTGACTCAACAGATCGACACAAAGCATACAAAAAACAACTAACAAAAAGACCTCGAATCCAAAGTACCATTCTGAAAGTAGTTGCAATTACTGAAAGCTAGTTGAAGTCAAACTAATAAAAAAAAAAAGTGATGTATCCAAGACTAAAATATCAAACAGTACACATCCAATGGATTTAGTGTAAAGACGTCATAAACAATCAGAGAAAAACATTACCGGAAATTTAGCGATATTGTGGTGTAATTAAATGTACGTACACCTGATACTAATAATCAAATTAGGATTTTATCAGATTTTTAAAAATTACTAGTATATAAGAATTCGAAAAACACGATAAATGAATAATGGTTTTGTAAAAATTTCTCATTTTGGCCTGAAAACAAATTATATTTGATTGGAATCTTCAGTTTCTGAGAATTGTCTAGCAGAGAAAAAAACCTGAAACTTTGTGAAAGTCGAAAGAACTTATAAAATATAAAAAAAAAATGAGAAAATCAGTTTATGTAATTCGAAGAACTAGTTTTTATATAAAGTCTATGGTAATTTCAGTTAATACTTTGCGATAATCTGTCAAATACGATTTGATCAAAGACGAATGTAGTTTAAGTGACTTTTTTTAGAAAACAAGATTTGTACAAAGCGGAAGATAAAAGTGTCAAAACAAAAGCAAAAGTGAACAACCAAAGTTATGCAAACTCTTTGCAGATGAACACGAAAGGAGAAAAGCGTACAAGTTGGCATGGTTTCTTATCAGCTGAACTTGCTTTCAGTAACTACGAGCATTCTTTTCAACGGTATAATTTATTTATACCGTTATACTTTTCTGAGATGCTTTATTTAATTAATGTATTATTTAAGAGGCATTAACTACGAAAGTGTTCCTTTGAGGTGAAAACTTAAAGGCCTAACTGCAGTAATTTAATAGATATAAATAATAAAAAAAAGTTCATGGCATTTCCAGTACTCTTAATGAACGTAATTGAGAACAAACTCTATTTTGTTGTATCACCTGTTAGTTCAGAGCAAAAAAAATATGCAAGAATTTATACTCACGTCACGAGCGATGATCTAGACGAAATTTAATTTCACTTTATAGGTATTCGATAGCGAATTCATTTCAAATTTCCAAATGTTATTTTTCTGATGATTTTTATGTTTATATTTAGAAACACCGTTTCCCTATATTTAACATGGTCCTGACGACAATAAACCTCCTATACGATAACTTTGAGCCGAATTTGTCACAGTTGTCGATTTTACCACGATGCCATGTCACGTTCTATTTTTCAATAGATCTTTGGACAAGTCGCAGGTATATTCTATGTAGTTATATAAAAATTTCGCGATGAAAAAAACTGATAGATAAATACGAAGATATGGTCTTGTGAGGATTATTCTCGAATTTGTCAACACTGAGGTTCGAATCCCGCACGTGGCAGGTGCGCTCGACCCCAATCTTAAGGTTTATCATAAAGTTTTAGCAAATATGGCGGTATTTACACCACAAATTTCAGAAAAACCTGTGCACCAGGAAAAGTTTTAGAGCATGGCTGAACCTAGATAAATAAAGTTTTAATGCATTTTAAGTTTAAGAATATTAAAAACTTAACTGGATCGTGCTATTCATTTTTGTTTTCATTCCTGCAGAATGTGCCAAAATAAACTAAGTTGGGAAAGAGGTTTGAGAAAATCATCTCATATAGTATTACTAGTAATACATGTTGTGAGTTGTATTGATCCAAATGGACAATAGATTGACAATAGACATCTCCAAATAATATGTGATTTAAACTGTGTAACTGAGTGGACCGTATCAAATGAAACTCGGGTGTTACTCTATTTTGCTATCTTCTGCAGACTGAAAAAAAATGCTCTTCAAAATCCAGGTAAGTTTTTAATTTTCTGAATCAGAAACTACATATAACGTTTATATATCTAGGTCCAGCCAGGCCTTAAAACTTTCCTAGATGTATCGGTGTGTGTGCACTCAGAATACATTTTATCTTGTTATCACGCCCATACTTTTCAATTCCTTTAGATGAACATTAATTTACTAGGATTGTCAGTTTTCCTATGGAAAATCGGTGGCTCCCTCCGGGCACTCTGCTTCCTCCACCAAAAAAAACCAGACCGCTACGAAATAGCACAATAGTGCTGAAAGTGGCGTTAAACACCAGACAATCAATTAATCCCCGAATGTGTACTTGTCATGAGCAACATGATGGTGCCACATGTGGAGCTGAACATGTGAACCCTTGCAGATCACCGGAGATCACCCCAATGTTTTAGTGTGGTTCGGATCGCTTAGTCTTTTAGTTTTCGAAGTAGTGTTGGGGCCTCGGTGGCCGAGTGGTCTAAGTAGTTACTACTGTAATCACTAGCCAGTCAACACTGAGGTTGTGAGTTCGAACCCCGCTCGTGCGGGTGCACTCGACTCCAATCTTAATTGACTAGGATTGTCAGTTTTCCTATGGAAAATCGGTGGCTCCCTCCGGGCACTCTGTTTCCTCCACCAAAAAAAAAACTGACCGCCACGAAATAGCACAATAGTGCTGAAAGTGGCGTTAAACACCAAACAATCAATCAATCCTTGAATGTGTACTTGTCATGAGCAACATGATGGTGCCACATGTGGAGCTGAACATGTGAACCCTTGCAGATCACCTGAGATCACCCCAATGTTTTAGTGGGGTTCGGATCGCTTAGTCTTTAGTTTTCGAAGTAGTGTTGGGGCCTCGGTGGCCGAGTGGTCTAAGTAGTTACTACTGTAATCACTAGCCAGTCAACACTGAGGTTGTGAGTTCGAACCCCGCTCGTGCGGGTGCAGTCGACTCCAATCTTAATTGACTAGGATTGTCAGTTTTCCTATCGAAGGTCGGTGGTTTTCTCCGGGCACTCCGGCTTCCTCCACCAATAAAAACTGGCCGCCACGAAATATCCCAAAAGTGGTGCTTAAAAGTGGCGTTAAACACCGAAAATCATCAATCATCATCATCATCATCATCATCATCGAAGTAGTATTTTATAGACTGTTGTTTGTCTTTTCGTTGTTAATCAGTTTTGGTCATACATAATATTGATGACATTTTATTCATTTTGATTGTCCTTTTTGTATCTTCCGTCTTTTCTTGAGACAATGCATGAAAAATATTAACCAAACAACGATCTAAGGAGAGCTTAGGAAGCTAGTAATAACAAAATCATTTTTTTCTGAAATTCAGAGCTTGTGTCCAAGCTTTGCTAATCTTCGCAAAAACTCGGCGTAATCTTTTAACTAGTTTTGTATACAACCCGAAATATTTTTAATGAAGAGACATAAATCAAATTATACGAATATGCACTACGTACACTGTCTATATACATGATATATAAGTCAAGTATTAGTATGCAATGTTTGAGTTCAAGAGGTTACACTATATATTTGTCAGTTCAAAATTCTTTTCAATGTAGCCATGTCAACGATAGACTTTCTAATTTTTCAATGACTATTTTATGTTGTTAAGTTGCATAGCATTTGACCTTCGCCTTCGCGTTTCCTTATTTATCTTTTTTTTTAAATGCGCACTAGATCTCATTATCATAAGAAATACAAATGAAAGAAAATGTATTTATAAAATAAATCAATATTGGTATGTACTGGCAACTTGAGGCACAGGGGCTCGGGATCTAACTTTTGAACGTAATATACCTAATGAAAACACTAGGAAACCCCATTTTCTCCTAGAGTTTTCATTGTGAATAGAGCATAATACGTTCTAAAATAAGATTCTCGAGCCCCAGTGCTTAATGGGCAAATTGAATTAGAACACATAATTATAACACTCTTCAGAAAAATAAAGATTACTTCACATTTATCTATAGCTTCAATTTATTTTTACTTTAATTAATCTGTATCAGATAAAGAGAGGAACGTATGTTACGATATAAAAAAGATGTGGTATGATTGCCAATGAGACAACTGTCCACAAGAGACCAAATGACACAGAAATTAACAACTATAGATCACCGTACGGCCTTCAACAATGAGCAAAGCCCATACTGCACAGTCAGATATAAAAGGCCCCGAAATGACAATGTAAAACAATTCAAACGAGAAAACTAACGGCCTAATTTATGTACAAAAAATGAACGAAAAACAAATATGTAAAATATAAACAAACGACAACCACTGAATTACAGGCTCCTGACTTGGGACAGGCACATACATACAGAATGTGGCGGGGTTAAAAATACGAGTTCGGATTTCCTCTTTCTTCAATACAAAAATAAGAAGATGTGGTATGATTGTCAATGAGACAACCATTCACAAGAGACCAAATGATGTAGATGTTAGCAACTATAGGTTACCGTTTTGCCTTCAACAATGAGCAAAACACCTAGAATATATCACGCTGTAAAAGGTTCCGACATGACTAAATGTAAAACAATACGATCGAGAAACCCGACGACCTAATTTGTGTACAAAACAATAAACGAAAAACAATATAGTATACAGCTATTACGACAACCACTGAATTACCGGATTCTGGCTTGAGACAGGGAAAAGTAGTTTTTGCTGGGACATAATATATTGTCAGTATAATAGTCCAAGGTTTTTGGTATCATGTAAAAATCAGCAAACATAAAGATTTTGACCCCTTTACTCTCTTCCCACATTTTCTATCATCTACAACTTTAATGGCTCTAGGGTTCCCAGTGGCGGATCCAGAATTTTTTATAAGGGGGCCCACTGACTGCCTAAGAGGGGGCCCGCTCCAGTCATGCTTCAGTGATTCCCTATATAATCAACCAAATTTTTTCCACAAAAGGGGGGGGGACCCGGGCCCCCTGAAAAACCCTCTAAATCCGCCTCTGGTTCCTCCTCAAGCTTTTCGAACCCAACAAGGTAATAATGAGTTGCTTCTTCAGTAAAAAAGTATGTATCTCATTTTCAATAAGACAACAATATCATGATCATTGTACAACGTAACTAAATACTAGCATTTCGTCCTGTAATGGGAGAATGGTAATAAATATTGATAAAGAAGTTAGTGTCTTATTGCTGAGACTACTATAACATGTAGTTATAGTGTTCTCAGTTTATTGTAAGATAAGAAACAACAAAGTAAAAAAAAAGTCAGTGAGAATAGCCTAAGCTGTAGATTTTATAGAAAACAAAATTATGGAAAGTTACAAAGGTTTCACTTGAATCACTGCATATGGACAACTTCTCTTGTGACTTCGACTTCTGTTTTAAAATATAGGCTTCTTAAGTCCGACAGAAACAAGAATGTGTCCATAGTACACGGATGCCCCTCTTCGCAGTATCATTGGCTTTGTTCAGTGGACCGTGAAATTGGGGTCAAAACTCTAATTTGGCATTAAAATTAGGAAGATCATATCATAGCGAACATTTGTACTAAGTTTCAAGTTGATTGGACTTCCAACTTCATCAAAAAAACTACCTTGACCAAAAACTTTAACCTGAAGCGGTACAGACGGACGGATGGACGGACTGACGGACGGACGAACGCACAGACCGAAAAACATAATGCCCCTAGTTGGGGCATAAAAAAGTTCTGAACTAAAGGGGGAGGTCTGTGTGTCTGATTTAATACACATTCACGTCAAATTACCTGTCTTTAATTGATTCCACGCGTTATGCACATACAGATCCTATCCGATTCAAGACTGTTTTACTACGATTTTTTTTCGGAGGAAGAAAGACAAGTTGCATTCCCTGTAAATTAAGTCTGGATAATTTACATCATATTTTCATACCACTATATATAAGCCTAACCACTGCTGATGGATTATGGTGCTTGTAAAAGTATATAATACAACTAAGGTTTAAACTTCCTCTGACAAAGGTGAGCTTAGAACGACGTTTCAAGACTGTAATTGTCCTCTCAGTTTGTACGCTTCCAATCCCCCCCACCCCCACCAAAAGCTTAAATATTCCATAAAAGTATGTTAAATCACCCCTAGGCTATGGTCTAGGGTCGACTGGGGTATAAAAAGATGGTCACCAGGAGTTATCTCCCATTAAGCAGTTATACTCATTCTTAAGATAAGCGTTCGTTCGACTGTGGGGGTATAAATATGCAGCCACGGCCGGCTGGAATAGGGACGTCAAATTTCACGACCAACTTTGCAGATCATAAAGTATTTTTGTTAATTTGTTCTCGTCTTGAATGTGCATGAACTGTTTGCCACTTGACCTTAAAGTTGTATATGTACACGCTGGTTTGCTTTAAAACTGTAGTTTGTATTGCTTGTGTACATTTTATAATATTCATATGTTGCTGTGTTATGATTGCATGATCATGTTCTATGCTATCATATGTATTTGAAATACCCGAATTCAGCAGTTTTCTTCTTTTTCATGAAAAGGGTGCATATTAAGGTGAAATTGTGACATCATAGCATCTAAAATCTTGTGCTTATTCATTTATATTTCTTGACTGTACACATTTACAAACATAATGCACAAATTTCAAATAGTTCACAAAAACTTTGTTTTCTTAGGCCAAAAACAGCCTTCTTTGTTCAAATATTTTTCTTGACTTAAGTCAGTTTAGATTTTTTTATATAGTATAGCACTTATCTTTTGTTAAAATAAAACTGTTGAAACAGAGATATGTCTTGCCTGTCGGCATAAAATTCAGAAAAAGACAATCAGATGGACAGCAACATTGCTAATTAATTCTAAGTCGCTGGACCAACTAGTGGATAGGGTCTCGAAATGGTTGACAAACTGAGATGTATATACAGCAATGTAACTCTATAGAAAATATTGTCTATGGAAAGTACTAATTCCTATCAAAATAACTTAATAAAAAAACTTAACATTGAAAATTATTAATTGAATGACAGTCACTGGACCATGACCTAATGTACTGATAGTAATGCAACTTTATAGAAAATAGCATTGATCTATCGTAAGAAGTTCATATCAAACTAACTTAAGCAGAAAACTTGTCATTGAAAATTGCTAATTAATTGAAAGTCACTGAACCATGGCCTAGGGGACAGGGTCTCAAAATAGTCGTCAAACTAATATGTACATCTACATCTTCATAATACTTCTTAACTTCAATATGTTGAAGATTACAAGAAGGCACATACTAAGGAAATTTTTTATTTAAATCTGAACGTATTTACAATAAATTGCATAACATTTTTTTTTTATTTTTGTATATATATAAAAACATGATTTTGATCTAGCAATATATATAGGATTTTGCACCAGACTTAAATGCTTCTAAGTCTGGGCTACTGGCTTCTTGGTATGGTAAGGAATTCCACAACTTTATTGTTCTAGGAAAAAATGAATTCAAGAATATAAAATTAATGTTAATTTGTGGGAGAGAATGGCTGTACAAATTTATGTTCTTTTGATGGTACGAAGTATTGCTCGTTTGAGATGGATACTAATTGATGTTGAATTTTGTATAGCATGGTGACTGATGCAAGATTTCTTCTTTGTTGTAGTGTCGGCCAGCTTAGATGTTCAAGCATGGCTGTTACACTACTTTGGTAGCTGTATTGATTAGGTGTATATCTGGCAGCTCTTCTCAGGATCATTTCAATTTTATGTATTTATTGTTTCTGCCAGGGGTCCCAGACAACCCAATATTCTATTTTTGGTCTGATATATGTTTTGTAAGCAAGTTCTTTTGTTTTTATGCTGTTGGTTTTTACATTTCTTTTAATAAATCTTAATGATGCATTTGCTTTATTTGTGATATTATTTATATGTGAGTTCCATGTCAGATCGTTTGTAATGTTAACACCAAGATATTTAGCTTTGTCTGTTGATTCTAAAATATGATGATGTAGTGTGTATTTATAGATGATTGGTTTTTGCTTTCTTATGTGGATGATTTCACATTTGTCTGGGTAAAATGACATTAACCATTTTTGCTCCCATTGTTCCAATTTAAGCAAGTCTGATTGAAGGGTGTGGCAGTCAGCAAGTGATATTGTTAAATACACAATGGTGTCATCTGTAAAGAGGCAAACATTACTTTTGAGGTTGTCTGGCATGTCATTAATGTAAATCAAGAAAAGACATGGACCAAGAACAGAGCCATGAGGAACGCCTGACAGTACAGGACAGCTATTTGATGTGTGACTGTTAACTACCACTTTTTGAGATCTGTGAGATAACCATGCCTATTTAGTTTTAAGATATATACTGATAGCAATGCAACTTCATACAAAATATCATTGATCTATCAACAGTAGTTCCTATCAATCTAACTTCAGCAGAAAACTTAACATTTAAAATTGCTAATTAATTCAGTCACTGGACCATGGCCTCAAAATAGTCGTCAAACTGATATGTACTGATTGTAATGCAACTTCATACAAAATATCATCGATCTATCACAAGTAGTTCCTATCAATCTAACTTAAGCAGAAAACTTTACATTGAAAATGGCTAATTAATTCAAAGTCACTGGACCAGGGGTCCATGGCCTAGGGGGCAGGGCCTCAAAATTGTCATCAAACTGATATGTACTGGTAGTAATGCATCTTCATACAAAATATCAATGATCTATCACAAGTAGTTCCTATCAAACTAACTTAAGCAGAAAACTTAACAATTGTTGACGTTGTCGCTGGAAAAGCAATCCCTATGTCTCGCTTTCCACCACAAGGAGGAGAGACAAAAACAGTTTTTGACATCTAAATTATTCTTTTTTTGGGGTGTTGCTGTCTCAATGACTTGATCCCAAAATTAATTACAATGGTCATTTTGATTGCTTGACATGGTAATCAGACATAGTTTTTTTAACAGACAACCAAGGACAACAAAGACCATGTTTGGTTCATTTGGCACATTGGTTGTGGAAAGAATGCAGTGTATGCTGAAAAAAAGAGACTAATTGATTGCAACAGCAACATTGACCCAAGAAGGGTAAACATGTGAATATTTGCTCCTTTTTCCATGTAACAACATTGAAAATCTGCAGACAATAAAAATAACTTTCACATAAATCAAAAATAAACTGATGAAATATTTATTTTGTCAAAAAGCATGTATTTCAAAATAAAGTTCTTTTTCAAACAAACAATTGTGAAAATTATATCTAAAACAATGGTTGTCATAGTTTCATCATTGCACATCTGTCAAAATGTGGAAATAAATCATAACAAAATCTTCAAATGGTTTTAATTATTCAAGTTTTGCAGTAATGGTGTATTTCTATTTGTTCCTCAAGGTTGATTTAATTTTACACAACAAAAAAAATTAGATCATTGAAATCAAATGTAGGAACTGTAGAAATTCAAATCTGACTTAAGAAGGTCAAAATTGTGGCATAGATTGAAAGATATGATTTTAATAATCATATCTTTTAATCAATTAAACAAAACAGAAAAATGCTCTTCCAACAACAATGCCCCCAAAAATTCAATTAGGTCTATAAATACTATAACATTATTTTCATAAAAAAAATCAAAATGCTTGATGTCTTAAAATCATATTTAGTCAATGAATCTCAAATGCCATTCAGTATGTTAATTATTCAAGGAATAAAGATTGCACAAAAATATTGAAAATTAAAATTCTTTTTAAACATTTGAATTGTTTGCATCTTTAGTGCTGTAAAAACAAATGTTACCAACTTTGATTAGAAGATGAGTAACTGTTATTGGCAGCCATATTTAATTGACTCACTGGAAGAAAACGAGGGCATTTAGCTGACTGTTACTTATTAGTCCTTTTAAATGAATATAACATTACAAAAAAGAAAAGAAAAGAAAAGAAAGCAATATTAAAAAAAAATCTTTTTTGCAATTCTTTTCATAACTATTTACGCTAAATTCCCCAAAAAATATTTCCCACCAAATGAATTTACAGCAACATGAAATTAGTAGACAAAAATGTGGTTTTGTTCTAATCTGTTCAGAAATATTTTCAATTGTAAGCTTAATTTCTAATTCTTTAAATACTGTAAATTCAGAAATTATTGCAATGTTTTTATTAATGCGAATAGTGCGACTGGGTTAGTATCGCAATAATTAGAACACGCATTCTGATATCTGATATATGCTTCTGTATGCAGAATTTCCTTAAATCCCAATAATTAATCTCACATTATTGTCCATTCTTCATAAATGGCAATAATAAATGCATGCAATAATTTCTGAATTTACAATAATAATACTTCGTTGTTTGTATAATTAGTCCTTTGCATGTGAATGTATTTGTTAACTTGAAAATTTACAAACATTAAATTCTTTAAGAGTGGTATATTAAACTCATTTCGAGAATTTCTTTAAAAAAATAAATCTGAGTCCATACCCCTCTTTCCCTACCCCAAGAATAGATCACTTTAGCTGTATTTGGCAAACTTTTTGAAATTTTAAGGCCTCAATGCTCTTCAACTTCATATTTTATTTGGTCTTTTTAACTTTTTTGATTCAAGCGTCACTGATGAGTCTTTTGAAGACAAAACATGTGTCTGGTGTACAAAATTATAAGCCTGGTATGAAAATCTAGGTAAAAACCCTAATTGGCCATATATTTTTAAAAGTTTACTTCATAATGAACATGTGCAGGAAGTTTGAATTTTATATGACCACAAACTTTCTTAAAACAAAACTTAAACCTTCCTTACACAAATACTTTAATCAGATTCAGGATGGACAAAAGAACAAACAAATGGATTGATGAAAGACTGGAAAACATTATGCCCTTTTGCATACAAATTGAAACAAAGAAAAATAAAAACAAGAAATAAGCTCGAGACTTTCATAACAAAATCTGTTTCAAACTGCAAGTTAAAATTAAAAAAAAAATGGGCATCAGTTGAATATGAAATACAAACGGAAAATGTATTTCTGTTTTTAAAACTCCTACAAGAAATACACCGTATTCAAGAAAATCAATGATTATACAAATAAAGCAACATATATACACATGTAATTCAATATTTCTCATGCATAAATAGGTTTGATTTGACATTTGTAAATAATATATATTTAACCTTTCATCATGCAAGAATAAATGTTTATACAACTAAAATGATCAAAATGTACACACCTCTAAAACATATCACAGGTCATCTTATAAACATTCAACAAAACTCTGAGAGGTATTCTTGTTAACTTAAGGGGGTACAGAACACCTAAGGGAGTTAACTTTTTAAAAATCAGCTGACTGTTTTAATCCCATACTATAAGATAGGAGAATTCAAGCTTCTCAATGATCAAAATTAGTGTTGGGCAAACTGCTAAATATCCAATGAATTCATTCCCATAAATTGTGTGGTTCAAATTTCTTGAAATTTTTATATTTTTGTTAACAGCTCAATAGTAAATATTTTGTCGAAATTTTATTAAAATTAAACGAGCAACATCTATGTTAGCCTAAGTGTTCAGTACCCCCTTAAATGAGATTAAGATCAACTATACAGCACACACATGGTGATTTGCAGAATTCCCTATTGGTGGTTTTTAGTGATTCACAACTTGGCTTGATGCTTGATGGTGATTTAGACTAAATTTGATTGAGAAGTATCTTTGTTTCTTTTTTCTCCCCTTGAATATACCAACAGAACTTTCAAAATGAATCACCCAAAGTCACCAACAATCTATCAACTAAGAGGTTTATTACTGAATCCCTGTATGTGTACTGTATATACAAATACCAAATACCAGAAAAATGGCCTATAATCTAATCTTTACTGTTTTTAAACTTCACTATATCTTAGTACCAAGTCTTTTAATCAAGTCAACAGTTTTTATCATTTTGCTACAAGACTAACATTTCTTAATGATTAACTGATAGTTTTTTATTAAGGCCAGTGGCAAATATCACACGCATATTAAGGACGAGATATTTGGCCATCTAGTGAAAAAACCAAAACTGTATTTAAATATTTGCTAACCTTTGACCGATTGATTTGATCCTTGCAAATAACAGAGTGCTTACAAATAAGCTTTTAAAGGCATATTTAATTAACTCTTTGCTGCGTCTTAGAAACAACAAATTCATAGAAAAGCTAAATATTAAGTCTTTTACTAAAACTGAGGTCTTCTCAAGTTCATTGTAAATTTTTGAAGAAATATTATTTAAAACTAATATACTGATCAAATTTGGATTTATTTTTTTAAAAAGCCTGTAAATGGTGTTGCAAAATTTTAAATAGTAACATATCTATTGCCTGAATACCATGTAAAGGTAATTAATTATGAATTATTTGAAAAAATATTTGTTCTTCAATAAAAAATATTTAAATCCGAGTCTTCAACAAAACAATAATATTATAATACTACACTCAACTCAAATTAAAAATATTATTCAGCACTTCAACGTTTAAAATTTGACCTTTCTCTAAGATAGAAAAATAACAGCACTATACATGTATACAAGTAGAACACTACACCTGAAATAAATTGTACAACAAATGCCTTTATAAATATTGATGATGAAATCAGTCACACTATGAAGAGGCATCACACGTCTTTGTCATGAAGCATGCCATTATATCATGGCCTATAAATTAACAATGGAACTATTCACACTAATGAAGCAGCATCACAAATCCCAGTCATAAAGAGTACTAGCGTTCTGCCTTCGTCAATCACCACCATTCATCACAACAGATCTTTTATCTCTGTGTTTTGATCGTGCTTTTGTCCTGGCTTTAAACAATGCAGCATTATAATGCGTCTGTAATTAAAAATATTGTAAACGCAGATGCACAACTTCATGTCTTATAGAAGAATATTTGCAAATTTGATTGAATTCTATCCGGCCTTTTTCAAAGAGTTGAGGACTAACAAAGTGTGATGTGGATGAAGAAAGACCACAGAAGTGATCCCTGTGTGTGGATATGGTTTGCTGTCAGGGGACAAACCAAAACAAGTACTCGTATGCAAAGGCTTATATAAATTTTGGTAATCTGGGTCAAAAACCCTAATTTGGCATACATTTTACAATTTCACATCATAATGTACATATGTACCAAGATTCAAGTTGATGTGACCACAACATATGATTATATGAACTACATAAAACCAAAACTTTAAACTGATACAGGACAGACAAGCTAAGAGTGGCACAAACTGGAGAACATAATTGCTTCCCGTTAATGTCGTAGACCGGACATTAAACTTAGCAATGTTGAACATAAGACATGTAAAATCAGTTGAATTTTCACTTGTAAATCACAACTGTTTATTTACCAACAATGTAGTACTTTTGTACTTCTATTTTCAGTCAAAAGCAGATAACAAATCTAAACTTAATCTATCTATATCAAAATATCTGCCTACAAACTACAAAAGAAAAGGGTTATTTCTTGTTTTCTAAATGATCTCGACTAATTCAAAATTTGTTAATCAATCGGGAAAAAAAATCTTCTAAATTTTACAATATAACAATATACCTACCCTTTCCCATTTTGATACTTTCTGAGAAGGAACATTTCCAACAGGAATGGGAGGTCCAAGGCCAAATATCTCTCGTATCACAGGGTTCTCCTGAAAAAGAACGATATTGTTAAAATTTTTGACAAATACTTTTTTTCCAGAGAATCCAACCTGACTTGGGTTTGCATGCTTACAATTTCACATCATAATACACATATGTACCAAGATTCAAGTTGATGTGACCACAACATATGTTAAAACTACTGCTTCTCTCCTGCATCTTTGTTATTTAGTGCCAAGCATTCAGGGATCACCATGACCTATTTAAGTGTGGCGATGTGCCACGCTTAAATTCCTAGCCCCACGCTAATATTCCCAGCGCCACACTCATTTTATAGTCCGCCACACTTGCAAATTCAATAGATTGAAGTTAAATTCCGGATATCCCTAATCCAATTATCATGTCAGTGGCAATTAAGAAATCTAATTAATGTTTAATGGTGTGAACACCGCCTCAAGGGATGTACATTGACAGCTGATTGCATTATTTACATTGTCTCGCGTGGTTGAACAAGGTAACATCCAATGAATGATCATGGCCCAGTTTCGTCAAATTGAAAAGTAAAAATTGTTTGCTAACTATTCTTTAAATACAAATGCTTGACTGTACCTTAAATGCCTAAATGGAATGCATATATATCCAAACTAAATTAATAAAAGCAGTATAATCCAGAAATCAAATGAATTCCCTGACCACATGTTTTCTTTTGTTGACAACCATGTCACATGTGTACTTTTGGCAGGAAAAACTTGGAAACCCCTAAATAACAGACAACACTGTCTGGTTATTTACAGACATTTTAATAAACAGCTGAGATAGGAGTGCTATTAAGGAAAAGAGTAACAATTTTATTGGAAAAAGGGGGGGGGGGGAGAGATTAATTTATAATATTGTCATTATATATAACAAATATGGTATCAGATATGCTTGATAGACTTACCAGTTTAAATGGCTTTCCTGTGTTTTATCATTAATTCCTTTATCTTTTATCTTACCATGTGGTTTTCCAAAAGACCATTAAATCAAATCAAAATTTGTCATGAAAGAAAGCTCTTTAAAATAATAAAATTGTATAATGAATACTATATCACATGAAAAGCGATATTTGGATCACTCACTTATTTCCTGAAGTCTGGGAAGCCATATAAGGATTTTTAACTTCTCTAATAAGTTTCTTAAAGTGTGGTGACCAAAAAATGTATGCAAGACCCTATTTCCATATAAGCTACATATGACAACAACTTGTAACGCAGAAAGTAAACAAATAAGGAACCATTCGACAATGCAACCCACCATCTCTGATTTGATGAACTTTCTCCCCCACCCTTGATTTTCATTCTGTGGTGAACCCTGAGCATTTAAAATAAAATCATGCAGCATAAAAATTATAGACTGGTTTGTTTTCTTTCTTTGCATGTATTGGCGAGGGGGGGGGGATTTCATCGTTCATTTCTGTTACAGTTTCAAGAGGTGCAATAGAAAGCTTGACTATTTTTTAAAAGACGTATTTAAACCTATTGGTTTTTTATTGTTTTTATTGTTTTTATTGGTTCCTTTTTCACGGATGTATACTTCACTAGACTGTTCAGTTTTAATGTTGTGTATTTACCGTAACAACATATGGTCTAAATAGGTAGAGGCAGAGGTTTATGCACATATTCACATGATTTATCCCAAAATCTGCATTTTGATTCTATACCAAGTCAAGCTGTCTCTTTGTTTGTACATCTTTTTTTCTGGGAGGAGTGTGGTATGTTGAATCGCTTAATATTTTTTGGTAATTCCAGTTATCCTTTTTGTGTGTAATCACATCTACTTTGATTCCTACTTACCTGTAAATGATGATTGACACCTGAAGTTAGTGCCTGACATAAACTGTCATACTGCTCCCTCTTTGACCATGAATCTATCATAACACATTCTTTACCAAATTTTATAGCTAGATCTGGTTCATCACCTTCCTGCAAAACAGTTTCAATGATAGTTGTGTTATAATTCAAAATTACAGAGAAAGAGAGACATAAATCATTACATTCTTAGACAAATTTTAAACTGGAAAAATTTTTTTTTTCCATTATCAAAATTTTATACATAATATATGCATTCCCTCGGTACCCTGTTTAAATGTATGCAAGTACTAGATAATATGTGTTGCATTTTGTTAGAATTTATCAAATTTCTGTTAGATCACTCTTTTCAACAGCAAGAAAACTTTCTTTAGTAATAAGGCGTTAATTTTAAGTCCTGGTCTGTCTATATATAGTTTTAACAGTTCAAATATATATTTCATTAGCTCCAAACATGAGAAGTTATCTGCAATGATGCCACTAGTTAAACAAAGATCTTGTAATTCACAATGACAAGTTCTTCAATGTTTTAGCTATTAATTTATGTTACAAACTTTGCATACCTCAACAGCTCGTAACACATCTCTGAAACTTGAACGCTGCATTTTCCTGTCTTTCTTTGCTCTGTATTTGTGTGAATCAGTAGCTAAATTCTTCAGAGTTGCACAGAGGGTACAAATATCTTCACCTTCATAATCCTGCAATAAACTATCAATGTTGAATTCTTTGTTGTAGATGAAGAAAACAGATTTTCCCTCAAAAGAGGAAAAAGATAGCATCTGAACAATAGTTTTTCTTTTTTTTCAACCTTTATTAAGAAGAATGGATACTAAAGTTCTGCTCAAACAAAGATGAATCAAAAACATTTTAAAATCAAACAGAAATCAGTGAGTACCTCATCCTCCTCTCTAGCAAGCTCATACAACAAGGCAATAGTCTCTCCTGCTACTATCCTCAACTCCACATCAGCACTTTCTAATAAATCTGACAACCGACTTAAATGCCTGAAACGAAAAAAATATTCATCATTACAATATTCAAAGCCCTTTCATAACTGTTTACAATTTACATCGAAGGGAATTATGTGTCCTTAATAAACAGTTTTTTGTTTCAAGAGGTGTCTTAAAGATAAATCTGACTTTCTAATAGACCAAAGGGTCGTTTCTATTTTAGTTGTAAATGACCAAAGGGTCATTCCTTTTTACACATCTTGAGTTTTCAACAACCTAGAGCAAAAAAAAAATGTTAATCAAAGGACTTTATTTTTGCTACTCCTTAACAATCTCATCTTCAATAAATGGAATTTTTTGTTCATATATAATATACCATGAATAGTTTTCTAAATAAAATTATAAAAAATAAAATGCTTCGCTGGGCGCAGCTTGATACGACCGCAGAGGTCAAACCCTGAACTGTTGGGGCAAGTATGGACACAACATTCAAGCTTGATACAGCACTGAATTTGGATTGTGATTAAATATTTGACACAGCATAGATTTCTGACACAGGATGAATGTGGTCTAAGAACTTAAAAATTCTTTTAATTTACCTATTCAAACCATATCATTATTATTTGCTTTTATATATAAATCAGAAATAACCAAATCAAAATGGAAAATTTTAAAGAAAAAAATGAAAAAAAAATCCCCCCCTCAAATTTTTTGAACCCCCTTATGATTCATCACCCCCCATAACTCAATCCCAGCCTTCCCTTTGTGTTACAATGTATGGTGCCTTGCAGTACAATTTCAGAGAGATCCGTACACTTGAACACAAGTTATTGTCTGGAAACTAGAAAAGTGCTTGTTTTTTGCCCCTTTTTGGCCCCAAATTCCTAAACGTTTAGGGCAATTACCCCCAAACTCAAACCCAGCTTTTCCTTTGTGATATGGAACCTTGTTGTACAATTTCATAAAGATCCATACACTTACAAGTTATTGTCCTGAACTAGAAAAATGCTTGTTTTTTTGCCCCTTTTTGGCCCCTAATTCCTAAAATTTTGAGGCAATTACCCCCAAAATCAATCCCAGCCTTTCCTTTAGTGGTATGGTACCTTGCAGTACAATTTCAGAGAGATCCATACACTTGAACACAAGTTATTGTCTGGAAACTAGAAAAATGCTTATTTTTGGCCCCCTTTTGGCCCCTTATTCCTTAACGTTTTGGGCAATTACCCCCAAACTCAATTCCAGCTTTCCCTTTGTGATATGGAACCTTGTAGTACAATTTCAGAAAGATCCATACACTTACACACAAGTTATTGTCTATAACTAGAAAAATGCTTGTTTTTTGCCCCTTTTTTGGCCCCTAATTCCTAAAATTTTGAGGCAATTACCCCCAAAATCAATCCCAGCATTCCTTTTGTGATATAGAACCTTGTTGTACAATGTCAGAGAGATCAATACACTAACACACAAGTTATGTCTGGAAGTTATAAAAATGCTTATTTTTGGCCCCTTATTACTTAATAACTGTTGGTACCATAACCCCCAAAATCAATCCCAACCTTCCTTTTGTGGTATTGAACCTTGTGGTAAAATTTCATAGAGATCCATTCACTTAAACTAAAGTTAGAGTGTGAAAACCAATGTGTCTTCGGACGACAACGACGCCAACGTCATACCAATATACGACCACAAAAATTTATTTGCAGTCGTATAAAAAGTGTTCTCATCTGATTCCCAATTTATGATAAAATTTTCTACACTTTTCTCCAGTGTATAAATGTATATAAAGCCACAAATAATTAATCCCATGTTATTATTGGTAAATAATATCTTCAATGACACCTACATTTCAATTTTCTTCTGGACAGAGAATGTAGGTGCTATGGATATCAACAAACTCCAGGCTGACAAGGCAACGGCATGTAGCCTACTAATTTGTTGTGGGTGACTGGGAACTGATTTGTCTCCCTTTCTGTAAGATCCTTTAAATATGTTCTCTAATGCTAGCATCGTATTATCAACAACCTAGAAGAAAAGATGTAGTTATCAAAGACACTATAAATACAGATTACAGCAAATAACTTAACCATGTACACCTCTGATAGATAAACTTGGGGGAAAAAAAATGAAGATTCATGAAAGGAGGAGGTGCAGTGTGTTGACCATTTTCAACCTACAAAAATGAAGTATAACAAATCCAGGTGATTTTAGCTGAGGGCTATTCCAGAAAAAAATGTATGGGGGTTGGAAGGCAGTTAGTTTCAGCATCCGCCACCTAGACAATTGTAATTGAAAATCATAGTGCATTATAGTGTGAAAAGTTGCTCTAATACATCATCACCCATGTATTATTAATATAAAGTGCCTTCCAACTCCCCCCATACATTTTTTTTCTGGAATAGCCCTGAAACGAAAAATGTTTATTATGGGCAAAGTTTAAACTGTAGTATCTTTGAAATATTATGAATATTTACTGAGATTTTACAATCAAAAGATAGCAAAATTTCAATTATCCTATGCAAGTACTACAAAAATATTTAAGTGAAAACATAAACATGATAAAGACTGCTGAATTTTTAAAATGTTTTTTCTATACATCAAAATCATTGACAGCTTATGTTGTAGGTTCACTAATGAAGCAGAGGCAATACTTTTCCTACCAATTATGCCCAACATTTCCAAAGGGTTCTGAAAGAACTAAAAAGTAAATAGTATTTTCTAACTACAGCTAAGCTCAGTGATATAACACCATGAAAACAGGATTATTTAACAAGAATATGTGTCCATACTGATTACTCATAGGACACCATGCCATGCTTGTACTATCACATATTCATATTCAGTGAACCAAGTAATCTGGGTCAAACCCCTAATTTGGCATACATCTTTAAATGTTCAACTTCATCATAAACTTTCTTATTCCAAAACTTGATACAGGATTGACAAACAGACGGAACGGAGGAAGCAGACTGCCATCTACTATTATAGGTTGGTTATTAAAGAAAATCAGTTACTTACAGATATATCTGTACAGGACAGAAAATTGCTCATAGCCAAGGTTGCAGCACACTGAAAATAAGTCAGAATAATAAGAATTAATCCATTTTATTACTGTCACTTAACAATGTTCTCCCTTCTTCATTTAGCAGCAAAGTATGATGTTATAATTTCTAAACCCGAAACAAAAATTACTTTCTCTTCTAAATTATCATAAAATTAATTTCTGGGGAAAAAACATCTGCTTCAAATATAAATAATCTATAACGTGTACACAAAGTGAGATGAATATCTTTGACATATATTCTAGAAAGTTTGAAGGCTCTGGCTTAAAAATTGCATTAGATATTGACTTAACCATCTGTAAAAAGTGCAAAACTTTCAATGTGTACATAAAGTGAGCTGCACATATTCAATGTATGTAAATATATTCTAGGTCGTTATTTCAATTGCTTTAGGTTGAAAACTGTACATAAGCTGAATACAGAAAACTACATAGCAAAAGATACCCTCTTCTACCCTCAGATGGGACAAACCCCCACTATAAGCACCACTTGCACTTCATGCAAACCTGTGCAAAAGTAAAATCTTTTGAACTCAAGACAATTTTTTTCATGTGTTATTTTTCTGAATGGCATAGAAATTAACCATAGTCAATGCAAGGATGTTGCCTTCAGAAATATACAAAATGATAATGATTTTGGTAGCTGTATAGTAAAAATTTCCATTTTTTTTCAACTCCTTTATTGTAAATAAACTTACTTCAGACCTGGCTTTAACAGGAGCAGTATTATCTGCCAGAATTGTCAAAAGCAAACTGTGTACTTCTTTAAAGTCATCTTCTATTTCATTCCCTAACTGAACACATAGTAGACTTAAACACTTAGCCGAGGCTGCTTGCTCATCACCGTTTCCTTTCTTCAAACATCTCAACAGACCGTCAGAAACAGTAACTTTCCTGCAACACAATTATATCACATGATATCAACTGGACCAATAAAAATGTTTAAATCATGGGGTTTTGTCACAAAACTACTTCATATTCTGTGAATAATAGTTATGTGCAGTATAGTTGTTGCCATTTATTATACAAATGAGAGTTTATAATACAATAAATGGAGAATGTGTCCATTGGACACAGATGCCCCCGCTTGTAAATAAACGACAAATTCTGCAATTTTCAATTCACAAAGGGAAATAACTTAAGAACGGCAAAAACGACGCCACCCATTTTCAAACTTGATCTGTGTTTTGTGATGATAAGCATTGTGTATAAGTTTCATAACATTTGGTTGAGGCAAACTAAAGTTAGTGTTTTGGTGATAAGCATTGTGTATAAGTTTCATAACATTTGGTGAGGCAAACTAAAGTTAGTGTGGAAATTTTTCATATCAGAACTATTCCATTCAAAAGTTTGTAGGATGGATGGGTAGCTGCTTAATGTCTTGAGGCAAATTGAATGCATATTCTGGATAAGAACATGTTAATGTGATATGAATATGAACCTTGTCTTGTAATAAACCGACACACTTAGCCAGATTTTCAACTTGCTATTTTACGAGGCTTGCCGACCAGTCTTTACTCTTACTCCAAAATGCCATGTGCTTAAGCAAAGGCAGCAAATACAAATTTCAAGACTTTATTTGACACAGCCAGAGATGGAACCCATGATTGGCAGCATTAGAGGGAGTACACCACCAAAGACCACAGAGGTGGTTTAGGTATCGAATCTGAGAGGTTAGGAAGGGAATTTCGATTTTTGGACATGAGTCAAGGATCATTTAGTTTAATATCCATTTGTTATGGCTGATGTATGCAAATTACTCCAAAAAGCATGTCATTTGTATGGCTATTAAAAATTTTAAATGTCTTCCTTCCCTCCCATATACTCATTATAATGCGGTAATATGATGTTTGGACTCACCATGATTATTTTTTTCATATCTGACTAAATATTTATTCTTTTTATAGTTGACAAAGAATTCAAATATTGTATCAATATTCAACTTTAAGTGTTAATATACAAAATTTTGGGACGTATGGACAGATAGACAAGGGTAAAACTTAATGGCCCCTCCCCTTCGGCGGGGGCATAAAAAATATCTAGAAATGTATATTTTACTAAAGCATTTCTTTTTCTTTATAAATTCTTTTCTGACTTATTTTAAACAAACTTACCTGTCACTAAGAAAATCATAAATATATTTCTTTGAAAGTAATTTTGCCATGGTTTCAATGCATGATATTCTGCCTTTACCACTGAAAATAGAAAACAGAACAGTTAAATACAGAAAACAACACACAACTTAAATAGTAAGTATTAAAAGTAAACCTGAACACCACTATAATAACTAATAATCATATATTGATGTTTTATAAATCAGAGGCGGATTTAGTGGGAAAAAATTGGTTGATTATATAGGGAATCACTGAAGCATGACTGGAGCGGGCCCCCTCTTAGGCAGTCAATGGGCCCCCTCTTATGAAAATTTCTGGATCCGCCACTGTAAATAACATTAACCAGTCAGGGGTACTACTTAAACAAGTGATTTCAGAATCACTCCCTCGAGTGATTTTGGCTGTGAAATATTAAAAATTTTCACACAGACTTTTTAAAATCACTGAAACAAGTAATTTTAGAAGTTAAAATGTAATCACTTTACTAAGTGTTTATAACATTTTCTTGATATTTTTCCCACAAGCCTGATTTTATTATTGGTAAAAAGACAACAATTTCATTGAAAAAACAACTATGTATATGCAGAAATTGTTGTTTGCTTGATAAGCCTGACACTTTTACAGTTTTTTTAAAATATGCAAAAACTGGAATAGTTTGTAGATCAGGTCATAACCTTGAAGTAGATCATTCTAACTCTAAAGAAAACCAATCAGGTTACCTAATATTGTTGATCTTTGTCTGATAGTAAGAGTAGTTAATGAATTTTTGATTACAGAAAAATTCCCAAGGGTACTTGTAAAAGCTTTAGCGCACTAACTTACTGCCCAAGCGCACTGGTGAAATTAATATACAAAGAAAAGGGGATAATTGATTTATGTAGGAAAATTATAGAAAAGATTGTGAAAATATGGGAAATCAATGAAATTAGCATTTGAAGATCAAAGAAAACACTAAAATCACTTAAATAGGTGATAACTGAATTTATCAAATCACTGAAATAAGTGATGATGAAATCACTTGTTTAAGTAGCACCCCTGACTGTTAACAGTATTAAATTTTCAACAATAAATAACATTTTATAAAAAAAAAACAGACTTTATTCCAACATTACATTGTTTTGATATTGAGACGAGAAATTGCGAGTTAATCAAGACTTGATTTCTAAGATTGTCAAACTGGAGATCTTGCGGTATGGGTTTGGCTCATTGTCATTTAGTCTGTGGTGGAGAGTTGTTTCATTGGCAATCATACCACATCTTCTTATTCTTATAATCTTAAGCATCATGAGCATGTCCTGTCATTCTTTTTTGTGCAGAAGTGTTATTCAAGGTTTATTCCTTGTAAAATTCAAATGTTTCATGTTAATTTGTAAGAACACAACTTATGAGAACTTAATTTTGAAATGTCCATATAGTGCATAAACCAACTTTGGTCTCTTGTTTTTATGTACATGTACAACCAGTTCCAATAATGCTGTCAAGACTGGACTTATATATTTTCATTGGTGCCAATTATCATAGCATGAGGAGAAATTGTATTTTGCATGAACACTAGATTTCATAATGTCCTCAATAGTTTTGAAAATTTCTACATACCACCCATTATGGCCTATAGGTTATATTTTGTTAATACAAAAATATTATCCCATGAATAATATTTGGTTTTATTTTTGAATTATCATGATTATTTTGCTTGTATTAGTGTGAAAGAGGTTTTCAGATATAAAAAGAATGTTTATCAAAGGTAGGTACTTTAAATCTTCATTTTAATATATTCTTTGGTATTGCAGACAGAAAACACAGTGTTTAAGTAGACTCCATTTAAGCTTGTGTGTGGAGTTGTTTACAAGTCAAGACACTTGTACATGTGTTACCAGATAACCATGGTTACCTTTTTTGTGATATTCCTTCAATGCAGTCTTTCAATTTATCTTCAAAATTTTCTACTACAGTAGTATCATCTGCTCCATTCTCTCCTTCAATAAACAAAAATTCTATGATACAAAACTTGTATGAAAACAAAACACAGTCAATTTAATCACATCTTTATAAATCCTGTATAAAAATAACATACATGTTTCATGTGTATGTTTGTGTTCAAGTACATGAAAATATGTATATCTTAAATAAACTTTTATCTAAACCCAGATTTACTTTATTTCTATCTTTCTTTTCTTTTATCTAACTGAACCTTTTGCTTAATAACATAAAAATTATCTCATTGTAATCAATAGTCAGAAATTTTATCCAACAAAGATTGAAACATTAAGAAAGATTACTTATTGAATATTCCCTATTCTAATCAATCTGACATTACAGTAGGGCCCTTTATTTAACATCTACAAGTAAGAGCAGGGTCAAAATTACCATATACATAGAATGATATACGGTATAAAAGTACACCTGCCTTAAAATTAAAATTTTCTTGTTTTATTAATTTTTTCTACCATTTTCTCAATAAAAATAATTGTCTATCATCAGAAGACAGGATACAGCTGTACAGTGTATGTATACTATTTGATGTTCAGTATGAGTGCACTAACTGACAGGCTGTACAGTACCTACTACTTTTTACCATTCTTTGACAGAGTTGTTTAAAGGCATCAGTCTGATAGTCAAAACCGTCAAGCGCTTGTTGGGCCCGTAAAATGTGATTTTCATTGGACAGAATGTAATGACTGTCAAATGAAATTGTGTGACATTGGCGAAGCACTGCGTGATCCTTGCTGCATGGACCCCAAGAGATAATTAAACTCTAAAATGAACTCGGTCTTTGACAAGTCTTATACATACCATCCTCAGATATACTGCTGATATCCTCCGACAGAACACTAGCAGTACTCCAGTTATCTCCTGTATCGTACTCTTCATCACTGGGAGGTAGTGATGCCACAACCTTCTTCCCTCCTACAAAATAATACAATAATATTCAGAATTTAGACTGATTTAGGTCATTTTCAATCAGCTTGCTTGCATTACAAAAAAGCATAGTGAGTTCACACTCTCCCTAAAAACAAAATAAAATACTGTTTAAGACTACATGTATTAAAGTTGAGAGTTAGATTGAAGTTTTACTATTCAAGTTAGAGCATCAAGAACCAAAATAATCCTCTCAAAGACATCCTGGCTATGTCCAGAAGTTACCTGACATGTGCCAAGTTTTGCTGATTTTCTGATACCAATTCCAACATATTCATATACTTTGTTCAAATTACAAAAAAAAATTTAGCATTATTTTGGTTTTTGTACATTTCTGTTTGACCTTTATATTAGCAGCTCAGTATTTCTTGTCAACATGTACATCAATTTATTATAGGTTCAAATGAATCTTGCATTACTTTTAACATTTTCAAACATATACATTGTAATTTAATTTGGCTTCAACCTCAAATTGGTAGATTTAATTTATTCCATTCAGTCAAAAACTAAACTTGACTGCTATAAACATGATAAATTAAAACATGTCTTTGTGTCATACAAAGTGATGCAAGCCAGGTTAGGAAACAATTGTTATAATTTATAATTATAGTTCATTTTTTCAGCAAAGGCTAGTTACTGTAATGTTCACATGCTTTAAATTTACTATTCTTTTAATTCAACTGAGAAAATTTTTTTTTTTTTATAATAGATTCTTTCAGGTCATCAAGTTATGTGTAATACCAGTTAGGCACTAACATGACAAACTCCTAAAGACTTTTTAGTGTGAATGAGTTACACCTCAGTGCGGATCCAGTCATTTTTAAAAGGGGGGTTCCAACCATATGTCCCAGGATACAGAAAGGGGCTAAAAAGTAAGACTATGAAACAAAAATACTATCTGGCAGGTGCCACTGAAATAGTTTTACACTGTGTAAAATGATATGAAGCCCATATCGTTTGTCTATCAACTGTGTAGATTTTCTTTACCATGTAAACATGGTCAAGGTTGTTTATTTGTCAGAACGCAAAACATATGGCGGTAAAACTTGCGCAATAGAATGAAATATTTTTCTTCCAATTTGAATTTCTAGTTTGGTTTTAGACTTTTGACTATGTATGATTCCACTTGATTGTTACACATCAAAACGTTTCACTGTGTTTTGTTAAAATGTATCCACATCCTTCACCGTAATTATTTTAGACAACAGAAATGTCCACCGGTGAATTTACCTTTTTTCTTTCCTCCTTTAGGCATTATTATTTTAAGTCTCTAATAAAATTAAAATGTTTTCTAGTCCCTAAAACTGTTCTCTTTCGTATACTAAGATCTTGAAGATAAATTCCTTGATAAAACAGAGTAATTCGAAGAGATAAGACGTTATCCTCAGACAGCATGGTCAACGTAATCACGAAGTTTCAGACTGTCACATTCTAAAAATAGATTGAAAATCTCGTTTTTTTCTGGCTGATTTGATAGAAATTAGATAAATGTCAAAAGTGTTATAATTAAATATGATTCAGTATGAAATTATCTTAGTTCTAAATTCAAATAATATGTTCTTCTAAATAAAATATTTTTTTGTCACATTGATGCTTGAAAAATCTTTAGTTATTCATTATTTAAAACGTTATTCCGACACCAATTGTTTAATGACGTTTCTTTCGTTACCGAAACGATCGTTCACGTGACACGTTTCCTTAAATAGTCGTCTTCGCAACGTAGGAGTTATAAATATTTTTATTGCCAGAGTCGAAGTGGTGTAGAGTTTGTTAGTGAAAAATATGCATCCGTGTTTATCCTATGATAATATTGAAGAAAGTAAAATGGATATAACTAATATTTCACAACAGGAATTTTCAGATACACAAGTTTGTGAAACCGTAAGTCGTCGGAAAACCAGGCGTGGTAAAAAGAAAAACAGAAACGTGTCGAGACCAGAAAATAGTGGGTGTTGTCAGCAAAAGGAGTTAGACTCGTGTAATCAGTGCTTAACTTTGATGGCAGAATGTGATTACATTCATGAAAAAATGTCAAGGAAGTCAGGAAGAAGAAGAACTGGAAGACTTTTGAGGCCAAGATATAGTCCTAAAGCTCCGCGCAATTATACATCCTTTATTATGGACGATCATTTAGAAAACGCATACGGTTATCTGAGTTATAAATCCCCCGAGTCTAATTTTGATCAGAGAGTCGATGATGGTTGGTCAGTTTCTCCAGATTATTTTTCAAGACTTGGTAGTTCAGATAATGTAGAACTTTGCGATGAGGATATTGAAAATGACAATTTTGATTGTTCAAAAACATTAGATTTCATAAAAAATGATTTTGAAAACACATATAATTCATCACGTGCAGAAGAACTGTCAAAATTAACCAAAGATGACCTAATTGTAGCAATATGTAAAATGGAAGATCGAGCAGAACAATTATCAACAAATTTAGATAATGTTGATTTACATGATAAAAGTCCAAGTTTATCTATGAAGCAAAATATCCTAAGCCTTCAAAATGAAAACAAAAAGTTACAGATAGAAAATGAAGCATTGAAAACAGTGTTATATCCGCATCAAAGTGACTTGTAAATACGAATTGTGTTCATCATGTTCATGTACAGTAATTTATTCTTTTAACTGTAAAGAAACTTTTTAAAAGTCATTTTAATTGTAAAAATGTTTGTCTACAAGTAAAGTTAAACATTAAAATGTGCTATTTTAAGATTTTTTGTTTATTTTATCTAATTGAGTTTAGTTTTATTTTTCAGATGAAGGAAACAAGTGTTGATGCCAGGACCTTAGGCCATCGGCCAACAGTAGGTTCCAGTGCATCAGTTAAGTGTAAGGTAATGAATGCAGATGTTGTACAATGTTACAGTGTACATATATACATTCTCTTTCTGTTTTTCTTAGCTGATTGATTGTATTACACAAATGTAGATTGAGTAATGAATGTAGCAATATATTTCGTCAGTACTACATTATACTTGGAGACAAATAGCAGTAATACAAATACGCAACGGTTAAAACAACATCTTTTAAAAAAACTTTTGATAACTACATGTATATTATTACAGGCCAAAATTAAAACTATGTTTGTTTCCTGTACCAAGTCTAAACACTGTTTGTCATTCTTTCATGATACATACATATGCACATATGTATATTTTATAGAGCCACAGAAAATGTTTCATGTCACATGTGCTTACTACTGTACATCAGTTCGGTTTCAGTATTTTGGATGTGTCAAAGTTGTATTTCGTACCTACATTATACTCATGATGTTTACGCAATATTTCAGATCTTTCAGTCCAGAGGAAAACATATCTTATGGATTGGATACTTTTGAGGTAAAGTGGCTTCTAGATTTACATGTACATGTTGTAGTGAAAAGAGATACATGTTTGTAAATAAGTACATGTTTATTATTATTACATACTTCCTGTAAAATATTCAGTTTAATGTTTTGTACAATCTACAATGTACATGTACTTGGTACAACCCACACAATAGATAATAGCTCTCCCAGAATAGTAACTATAATCACGATAACTAGAATAAGAGATATACAATACATGTACATTAAAGAACTGTAAATTCAGAAATTATTGTGTGCATTTATTTTTGTGATTTTTTAAAAAATAGACAAAAATGCAAGATTATTTTAGGAAAATCTGCATGCAGATTATACATGTTATATATACAATATATATATATGTATCAGATATCAGAATGAGAGTTCTTATTATTGTAATATTCATCCAATCGCATTATTAAAAACCTCGCAATAATTTCTGAATTTACAGTAATAATTTCTAGGGTAATTTTGTTTTAAAGACAAAAAGTTCTTATCTAATATTACAAGAAAATTGACAGGCAACAAACTTTATTAAAACCAAAAATAAGGATTATGCTGTATTGTTCTTCAGGAAAAGTTATTTCAATTATGTTTTGCCTGTGAAGAAATTCCCTGAATTTGAATGTGAGACATAGGGATTACAATCAGGTGGCTGAAGTGTTAACTATTTGTATAAAGCTTTATATACATTGTATCAGTGGAGGAGATCTGGATGCTTCATTACTTGTGTACAGATGCATTATGTTTGTTAGTTTTCGTCTGCCCATTGTCCTTGGCCTCTTTTTCAGGGTTCATTGACTGTTTAACATGTTTAAGAACACAATTTTTTTTCATGTGGATTTCTTACTTATGAGTAATACATGTATGATAACTTTATTTGGTAAATGGGATCCTTGCAAGGTCTAGACAAAATGACATAGAAGTAAACAACTTTAGGTCACCGTACAGCCTTCAACAATGAGCAAAACTCATACCACATAGTCAGCCTTACGTCTGTCAGGGTTCACTTGACCTCTACCTCATTTCAAGAATCAGTGATCAAGGATAAGTTTACATGGTCAAGTCTGTATCTCAGATACTATAAAAAGCAGTAGGTCAACTATATTTGGTGTATGAAATGTTTGTAAGGTGTACATGTCTTTCTGGCAGGTTCTCTGACCTTAACTCATGGTTGAAAGTTCAAAGTTTACTTTTCTTGGTTAATGTGGCTATGTGATCTTTTACCATCTCTTGGCGTCAGTCTGTCATCGTTAACTTTAAAAAAATCTTTTCAGATCTGAAATTACTGGGCCAAATGTTACCAAACTTTATAAGTACCTGAATGTACCTTAAGGGTATTTAGAAATTGTAATTTGTATCTGGGGATCTGATCCATCAACAAACATGGCACCTGTTGCTTAAAATAGAATGTAGAGGTAAAATTCAGTTTTTGCTTGTATCTAAAAAACTAAAGCAATTAGTGCAAATTGGACCCTGGTAGAATTGATTAGCAGGATAAGGTCTATCTCCTGCAGAATATAAAAAAAAATTAGGAGTTGCAAAATGTACTGCCCCTGAAATTATTTTTTTTCAAAGTTTGCAGTTTTTGGTTATCTTGAAAACAATAACAGATGGAAAGTAATTTGGAATAGTAAAAATGACCAAAACAATACGATCTACAAACTAGTCAACTTGCCTGAAATTGTCAAGTGACCCTTTATAGGATTTATTGCCTTTAAATGAAGATTTTTGTTATTGCCTGTGACAAAAGCTGCAGAATGAGAGACTGGGATTACAATTGGGTGATGGTGTAAACTTTTGGATAAAGCTTTTTCAGAAGGTTGAAGACCTGGATGTTTCATACCTTGTATGCAGAGGTCTTATGTTACGAATTTTCCCTAGATGTCACAAGTCCTTTGTCCTTCATCTTATTTTCATGGTTCCACGACTGCTTAAAAAAATGTAGATTTTTTTGTCATGTGAAACACTCACTTATTATCAGTAATATAATAACTATTTTTATATGGGATCACTGCAAGGTCTATGTGTCTGTCTAACAGGGTACATCTAACCTCAACCTAATTTCATGGATCAGTGATCAAGGTTAAGTTTTTGTGGTCAAGTCTGCATCTGGATACTATTTAAGCAATAGGTCAACTATAATTCATTGGTGTATTGAATGAATGTAAAGTGGATATGTGTGACTGACAGGTTTTTTATATGATCTTGACCAAGATGGCTGACATGGCTTAAAATTGAACATAGGGGTAAAATGCAAGTTTTGTCTATTATAAAACCGATATAAATAGAGAAAATCTGACCGGAGCAGAAAAATTCAGAGTGTTAAGCTCTACCAATTGTTCTATACGTCAAAACTGTCAGACGACTTCTTATAGGAGTTATTGCCCTTAAATAACAAATTTTACCACTTTTTTCATTTTTATACGACCGCAAAAATTAAAAAATTTTTGGTCGTATATTGGTATGACGTCGTCGTCTTCGTCTGGCGTCGTCCAGCGTTGTCCGAAGACACATTGGTTTTCGCACTCTAACTTTAGTTTAAGTGAATGGATCTCCATGAAATTTTACCATAAGGTTCAATACCACGAAAGGAAGGTTGGGATTGATTTTGGGGGTTATGGTACCAACAGTTAAGGAATTAGGGGCCAAAAAGGGGCCAAAAATAAGCATTTTTGTAACTTCCAGACAATAACTTGTGTGTAAGTGTATGGATCTCTCTGACATTGTACCACAAGATTCCATATCACAAAGGGAAGGCTGTAATTGATTTTGGGGGTAATTGCCTCAAAATTGTAGGAATTAGGGGCCAAAAAACAAGCATTTTTCTAGTTTCATGACAATAACTTGTGTGTAAGTGTTTGGATATTTCTGAAATTGTACTACAAGGTTCCATATCACAAAGGGAAAGCTGGAATTGAGTTTGGGGGTAATTGCCTGAAACGTTTAGGAATTGGGGGCCAAAAAGGGGCCAAAAATAAGCATTTTTCTAGTTTCCAGACAATAACTTGTGTTCAAGTGTATGGATCTCTCTGAAATTGTACTGCAAGGTACCATACCACAAAGGGAAGGCTGGGATTGAGTTTGGGGGTGATGAT